CATGATGGGATACACTAAGCCTCGAATAGCGCTCCGGAGCGGTATTCGAGATAGTTTGTGTTTAGTGTGCGTTAAGGGCACTGCGCTCTGGCGTTTTTAAGACCTGGGACAGTCTTGCGCACGCGCTCTCAAGTGGCCAAGACCGCAAGTGTGGGTATTTGGACAAGGGGAATGTATTCCAACTGCCCGCTATGAACTTCCTGGAACTATTTGAGGTCTACGTGAATCACGTGACGATCGAGCGTTCCGAACTTCCGTTGTCGCAACTCTCTCTCTCTCACTTTACGGCTCTGAGCCAAGTGGAGCGCTGAAGTTGGTGTCTCCCCATAAAAAGAACATCTCACTGAACTAGTCTGAAGAAAGTTAGGAAAATATGTTTTTGTACTTGTCCATCCCGTAGGGACTCAGTTAAACGGTGTAGATTGAGGTTGGGGCACTGTGGGTTAAATTACTTTTTGTGTATTGTAGGAAAGCATATTTGTGGATTATGTGAATGTGGGAATATGGAAACCGTAGGGCATGTTTTCTTGGAATGTAGAAAGTATAATATACAAAGAAAAGCACTTTTTGATGAATTGGCAGAACTTGGCGTTGGAGTGTTTTCTGTTACTACTTTGTTTGGACACAGTGATAAGCATAAACTGATCTCTGAGGCAGTTCTTCAGTTCTTGCATAACACAGGACTGTATATAAGAATTTAGTTCAAACTTTGACCTGTGGAGGGCAGTAATACGCCCAGTAGCGTCTACACTGCCGGAAAGATAGAAGAAGAAGAAGAAGAAGAAGTCTGAAGCGCAGTTCATTTCGTAGACCGAACAGAGTGGAGCTCATTTGCAAAGCAGCAGTTTAGATTGAATTATTATTCCTTTTTGTCTCACTTCTCCTACCGCAGTTAAGAGAGCTCGGATGAATGATAAGTCCAGGAGTGATAATATTGAGGAAAGCTAGTTTATAGTTGATTCTGAAGAACAAATGAGATCTTGTTGACGACTAATTCAGGTAACGTTAAGTGTATCCACTGATAAAGAGAGTATTTAATATTACATTTGACATGAGATTGTATTCGTTTAAAATAATTGGAACATTGTTTTAAGTCTATAATTTATATATTGCATATTTTAGGCTGTACTTTAGAAATGTGAGCACGTGGTGTGTTCATGAGCACGTGTTTGCGCCATTGCTCTCATTCACCGTGAAATTACATTAAAGAGTGTTTAATAAAGCTACATTAATGTTTGCTAAATTATAATACATAAGTGATTTTGTTTTTGTCCCTCTTTTAGGGTTATTTACAGTTACAGTGGACTTTGTGAACAGGGATTCTAGGTAAGACCAGGCCTGACTTCATTGCATCAAACATTTTCAGTTTGGGTGGTCTGGAATGATGCGTTTACTGCGTTAGACTGCTGAACATCACTGATGTCAAATCAAATCTCTGACCAGACTGGTGAATTTCAACCGCAGTCTGTTTGATTTTGAAGCTGGAATGAATGTTTATGATGGCATTTTCTTTTGCAACAGGGAGAGAAGGTGAATTGGAAGAGGCAATGGTTTGAATGTTCCTCACTATGTTCACTGTAATGGCTGTGGTGTTGTATAACTTATTCTGTCTTGTAATATTGTATGTGGATGTAACAAAATTGCACAATCCTGTTTGTTTCTATACATAAACAAAATACATGTTTTTGCTTGTGTGTGTGTCATGTATTGCAGTGTTTTTATTATATAAATATATGTAAGCACTGTATTTGAACCTGTGAAGCCCCTTCATGGCTCAATGGGTCAAGCAACAGTGCAACAGTAAAAGCTTGTTATAACTGGAGCTTCTTGGAATTTCCCCCAAGTTGCTCTTTTAAAAGCAGTCGACAACTTTTTGTATGTATATGCATTTTTCCTTCGTTGTTCTTCTATATAAAGGGGTGTTAGTGGATCTGAGTAAGAGGCCCACAAAGGTATATTTCATTTGTTGCAGTGTTGTATAGGAGCACTGCCTTTGAACCTATGGAGCCCCTTCATGGCTCAAAGGGTCAAGCAAAGGCTTGTTATAACTGGAGCCTCTTGGAGTTGCTCTTTCAAAACCAATCAACAACCTTTATGAATTATTTTTGCAAAAGCAGTTTATCAATTTCCACACACAATCATGTTGTCAATATGGCAGAATACAATATTCAAATGAAATATTGCGTAAAGGAAATGGCAATTGGCAGAGCGCACACAAAAGATCAATTGTTAATGGTAATAATTGTAGCATAAACTGACACAAAATAAACTCATTGAAATCAAACTACATGTAGTATTGATACTTCGACTTGAGTCTAAAATGGAGGTGGAAAAGCCATAATTCATGTTCACTTAAACCTTAGCGGCAGCTAAGATATATAACTTGTGATGTTGGATATAAAACACTTTTTCAGACCTGTCAATACCTAAGAATCTAACAATGGAAGAATATCAAATCTCATGATATTTTAGATGGCAAAGTTCACTTGCCACTTTCAACCAACAGAAATACCTACATGATTGAATTTTAACACCATTGGCCTGCAAACACAGTAAATAATAAAAAAAGTCTACCTGACGGCGACCACAGATAGCAATACTGGACAAACGATGCCAAACAAGGTAGACAAAAATATGCACTGTTTGTACATTCAACAATCTTCTTCACATACAAAACACATGAGTTCATCTGTGTTGGAAATAGAATAGCACTTATTTTGAGCCTTGATCTGACATGCAATGTGAGGCGTAGCCCAGTGGTTCTCAACCGATTTTGCTTCAGGACCCAGATTCTAGATTGGACATCCCAACACAGTCCAAATTGATTCTCATTCAAAAGTAAACAAAAAATACCTTTCAAATCTAACACTAAAATATACTAATATTACCATTAACTGCCCAAAAATCTACAAAGTTATTTACAAGACCGGCTGAAGAAGAAACATTGTGGTCAGCACAAATATATAGATCATATATAATGTAGTCGGGTTGTATTTTATACACCTTGTGCAGTTTCATTGATGGTTTTTAAAGGCGAGGGCAGGCCATACATACAGTCCTTTAGCATCTGTCTGTCTGTTCTTTAGTCTGTTCAATCTTCAGTTCAAAAATCCGGAAGAGAATGAGCTTTTTTAAAATTTAGGTTATGGATCATACTCTTTATTTAGCAACTTAAATTTATGAAAAACACAATGGCTTAAAATGATAATTTGAGTGTAATTTATGTAAAAATGTGAAAGCCTCTTTAGTAATGTTCACCACAGATCTTATTTTACTTGTACAATCATGAAACACCTTTTGAAAAAACAGTCAAATTTACAACCTATGGCGAATTTGCCTTCAGGTTGCTCCACAAATAGATCTGTTTGAGTTCTGTGACATGGATTTGTACCAAAAAATGCCAGGATTGATTAGATGACAAACTCAGACTTTAGAAAGATAGAAGTCTTTCCCCTCT